CAGCCACAACTGCTTTAAAATTGCGTCGTCAAAAGACTTCCAGCATGCGAGGCTTTGCATGTGCCGTAGCCGTTGCGAAGGTGTGCGATCGCCCAGTTCGACCCCTGCAAGCAATTTTTGCAGATTCGTTTCGTCGAAGGTGGCTGTCTGTTTAATAGTTGCTGCATTTAGTGTGTTATAGGGGTTTGTTGCCTGCATAGGATCAATCAGGTTAATACTTCCGCGGCGGCGGAAATGGAAGTAACATTCCAGTTGGATAAACCATACTCTAGGATTACTGACTCCAAAAGCTGGCAGTTTTACGTGAACGGCGAACCAAACCAACTCAGTGATGAGTCCGTCTTCGTTAGACATGATTCAAAAAATTACTGGACTAAGTGTATGCGTGAGAGATGTAGGTGAGCTAGCATAGCAAGAAAAATAGAAAACGGTAAAAATTGTTCGGGCTCACCAATTAAAATGAATGTTCAAGTAAATCTTGACTCACAGTTCAATATAGGAGATTCCGCAGTTCCGTATTCCACTGAGTTCGGTATGCATTCGAGTCCAACGGTCGAACTGTGGCGACTACGCCCGTACTATGGGGTCATGTGTTCGACCGTTGGACTGTCATTGAGATAGACGGAAAATGGTGGCTGTGTCCAACTAATGCAAGAGCTGAGGTGTCACTGATGCAGAGAAGGCACGAAAATGAAAACAAACAGTACGCATTAGCCGTGAAGGCAGTGGGTGGATATTGACCGAAAATTCGATAAACCCAGACGAGAGGATATTGTAGCACGAGTCCCTAAGCAGCCCAGATACAGGAAAGACAATTTTGAGGGTGCATTTTCTCAAGAGCACAGAATCCGTAGTTGACCTAATCGGGGAATACTGGTGACAAAGTATGGTTCGGTCAGGCTGGAAGGTTACTCAAGCACCAACATGGATGAACCGGGTTTCTGGCAGCTTCCGTCCTGTGCCGTCAGTACAGCCTGTGATCGAGAACTACCAAGAACTGTCCACAAGCAAGGGGGATTCATTGGACTTCTGCTTATAGACTGATCACAAAATTACCTTTTTTCCGAGTGCTTTTGGTGTTAAGGCCCCAGTCCAATACCACTGCTTTTTAGGCCGAAAAAGAAGTTTGAGAAACGTTGAAAAATGCAGAGTCGAAGGAAATAACAGCTGGTACAACTTCCCGGTTGTGCTT